CTTATGCACAGGTGCCATCAGTCTGCCTCCATACCCTACCCTCAACGCTATCCTACCCGTCAACAGTCAACACGTCAGATGCACATTCAATCATCACGAGTTAACATCTATCGCCGTGTTATCAATCTCGACACCACCAATATCGCCATCGGCGTCAGGTTTGCCGCCGGTGCCAGGTCTACCAGGTCTGCCGCTCGACGCCAGGTCTACCACCCGGCGTCGTCCATCGTCAGCAGTGCCGGCCGGCGTGAGAACAGAGCCCGGCCGGCGGCAGCCGAGACTTCCGGCCCGCGTGCTGACGCGGCGGTCTGCCCGCGACGGGACGCCGCCGCCGCGGACGGTGGCGGCGGGCGGCGGGCGGTGGTGACGGGCGGTGGTGACGGGCGATAGATGGTGGCAGTGGCTGGCGATTACGGCATTGGTGCCAATAGGCAGACGGACGACCAAACTCGCTCGAAAGGGAGCGGGAGACATCAGCCAACTTCTGCACTGTTCTGCTTCATGTGTAGTTCACCCTTCAGCGTCATCGGTGATGGGTCCGAACCGGGGCCATTCCGCAACAACGTGACGCTAACGACTCAGATTAGATTGACAGACACCGTTACTCCGATAGGGCATCAAGGTACAGCATGTAGCTCTTTCATAACCAAACGAGAAAATCGAAAGCAGAACAATGATTAAAAATTCCAGAAATGTTACGCCCCAATTAATGTCTTATAGGAAGTGACATTTTACGAGTTACCTATTTATCTGGCAGTTGGCGAGTTACTTATTTATATGGCAGTTGGCGAGTTATCTATTTATTCAGTTGCAAATGCTACAATGGAAAATGAGCATTCAATCCATCCAGTGCCATATCCTCAACAACTCTGAATCTCACGGCAGCATGTAGCACTCAATCACAAACTTCTCCGCTCGAAAGCCCCAGATGAACAGGTAAACTTCCAACTTGGTCCAGTCGCTGGCAACTCGACTCAACACTGCGCGGGCGGCCCGGAAGCCGTCAGAGCCTGGTATGTGGCCGTGCCAGTCAGTTGCAAAGGTCGCCCCACGTCCGTGGGTGCTACCCTCAGGTCCGCCGGCCTGGGCCGGGCCGGACGGCACACGGGCGGGGCGGGTAAGGAGTGGAGTGGGGGGCGGACTGCCGGCAGCGGCGACGGTGTTCTAACACGCCACCTGCGCTCCCGCGCCCCTCCATCCGTATATGGCCGTCATACAGTCCGTAGCCAGACGCGGCGGTTCAAGTCAAAGGAAACGCTGTGCCTAGCTCGACTGAAGATGATCAGAGACAGGACAGTAGCAAACGCTCATCATGGCCGGTCTCACAAAATACCAACCAAACAGAGCCACCAAAACAGAGGACAGACCGCCAGACGGACTGGCAGACTGGTCTCGCCGGCCGGCTGGAAGTGTCAAAGGGCGTGGCCGGGACCTCCGTCACGGTCGGCGGGCTCCTGGCACGCCGTGACGCTGTCACGACGTCACAGAGAGATTCACGGCTGGCCGGCACGGCACGACTGAGCGGCAGCAGTTCGGCAGGAGCTAAAGCGCCACAGCAGAAGGGGAGGGATGGGGATAGGGCGGCCTTGGTCGGAAAGGTGGCTAGGAACTCAAAGTGTTGCCCGTGACGAGAGGAAGCCGATGATACCCAATTTTAACCCTCGCCGGCACAGGCCATTGCGTCCTTCGGCGGCACGACCCCCCCCCCCTCGCGTTTGGCTCCGATCAAGCTAGAGCTTCACGGAAAATAAAATGTGATGCGTGCGAATATGCGATGCGGGTTGCGAGCCCCATCCATCTGACTGAGTCTGACATTTCACACTGGCCTTAAAATACAACGCTCAATAAACTTGCCACTAGTGTTGCTATTCGACCACAGCGGCTGCGCTATCGAAGACCTCGAGCACATGATCCGGTACCGCTGCACTTGCAGCCATTCTCCTTTATTGCTACCTTCTGCTCAACATTGCTCTTATCGCTGTTCCTACTTCCTAATGAACCTCACTACATCCCACGACAAAGCCGACTGGCTGTTCGAAACCACCCGTCGCCAGCCGCCAGGGCTGGCTCGGCTGCCGCTCGCCCAGCGTACCGACCTCGCACGCACTGTTCCGATTTACGAGCTGCGGTCGACTGGGGAGGGAGGGGAGCAGATGTGAGCCGCCGCCGCACGACTCCTGCCTCGGCCAGCCGCGGACCGAGATATGCGGGCGCAGTGGGAGGCGGAGGGCAGAGCAACGGAGCAGAGCGGGTAGAGTGGGAGGACGGTGTGTATATGGAGCGGCGGAGCATCCTCGCGTTCCGACCCGCCCAGCGGCACGCGAGGTTGGCTGCTTATGGGCGAAAAACAGCGTGTTCGGAGGTAATGTTGCATGCTAGCAAGACGAATACGATTTATGAATGAGGTAGACTGGAAACCTTCTCCAAATTAGCCTAAATGTGTCGATGTTTATTCCATATTCGAAAAACACACCAGATTGGTGTAACTAATCCTGACCCAAATCAATTCACCGTCACTAATCCGCGCGCTTCACCATCGGTTGGGCGGGCGGTGGCTGTGCTCGTACAAAACGCCCGTCCGGCTTTCCAGTCAGCACTGGGTCGGTCGGTGGGCGGGGCAAACTGGGTCAAGGGCGGTCAGAGAATGATGGCGGCAGCGGCAGCGGATGCTCCGCGTAAATGGAAAACTGCGTTATTGGCTATCTAGGCCGCTCGCGTCCTGAACGAAAGGTCGCATATTGCTCACGCCAGAAGATTCCACTGTCGCGTTTCTTCATTGAATGGCATAAAACATTAAAATACCAATGGCATATCAGAAGGTACGATTACTTCCTATGGAGTCCTGGACTCTAACATTAATTAATAAAACAAACCATGCCGCTTTCATGAAATGCAACAGCGTCCAATAGTCTCGACATCACAAGACGCTGAGACAATTTCATTCAAGAGCGCCCTACATCCGGATTCCGAAATTCATAGCTGTCGCCAAGATCAGCCACTTAGTGACGTCACAGGGACAGTCACGTGGCTGTTACGATGATCAAGGAGTGGCTGACAAGAGTGGAAGAGAGCGAGAGAGAGAGAGAGAGAGAGAGAGAGAGAGAGAGAGAGAGAGGGAGAGGGAGAGGGAGAGGGAGAGGGAGAGGGAGAGGGAGAGGGAGAGGGAGAGGGAGAGGGAGAGGGAGAGGGAGAGGGAGAGGGAGAGGGAGAGGGAGAGAGAAAGAAAGAAAGAAAGAGAGAGAGAGAGAGAGAGAGAGAGAGAGAGAGAGAGAGAGAGAGAGAGAGAGAGAGAGAGAGAGAGAGAGAGAGAGAGAGAGATGGAGTGAGACAGAATCTCAGAATCGACACTTGCTCCCAATTGAAGTGAAATAAAGCCATAACCTATCTTTTCCTGTTGGCTAGCGGTAACGGGGTAACACACGTCATGTGCTACCAGTCCATGGTCGCGCCTCTGCTCAGTCCCACATACGCCGTTCGACATCGACCTGCGGCAGGTGGCGTGTGAGCGTGTGCGCACGCATTACCGCCCACTCAACGCACACGTATGTGCAGCTGGGCGCGTGGGCCGCGCCCCTCGGCTGACCACTCGGCACAGAGCGGGACGGGGCTGACCCAGCTCCACTGTGTTATCAGCTCGGAGCCCGCAGCTCGCAGCTCGCGGCTCTTGGCTCTGCGCTGACCCAGCTCCACTCTCGGTTATCAGCTTTCAGCTCTCTCAGCCCTCAACCCTCAGCAGCTCGCTGCTCTCGGCTCTTAGCCATCGCCTATCGGTTCCAACTCGTCTCTCAGCCTCAACTATCGCCGCTTTCCTCTCCGCTCGACTTGGTCCCGTGCCGTCAGCGCGGTAGCTCGCTCGGCTGGCCTGATAGGACACGGACAGACCGACGATAGCGGGTGCCGGGCGGCGGACCGGGGTACCGAGCACCGCGGGCTAATCCCCAGTGGATCGGCCGGGCGACCAGCCAAATGACCGCACTGGCAGCGGGCCTGGGGAGGGGTGGGAGGCGCTGTCGTCCGCCCGGACACTGCTCTGGCCTGCCATCGTACCCAGAGCGATGGTGGCGTAATCTGATGAGTGAAAAAAGACTCGCAAAAAATGTCGGTTGTAAGTAGACGAGAGGATCGCTGAAGAAGCTGGCGCAAATCCAACTGGGTAATCAGGAAGTGTCGCCGGCTCTGTGCCAGCGTGTGCTGCTTTGGTGGAACAAGCTTACGTACGCACCACATCACCAGATAACAAATGCAATTTAGAATAAACACCGCTTCAAGTGGACCAAGTGCTAACCCGAACCCCCAAGCTACTCGTAGCCACCACGGAGCGACAAGGTCACATGCTTTGATCGGGCATTCTATCCTCACGAGCAGCCTATCCACATCCTGCATCACAGTTCCCTGATACCAACAGCCGGCGAGAGCAGCTCTAATGAGAGTATGTCCCAAAAGGGTGACCGTTTGAGCGACTGGGTGGCCTGGCTCGCCGGGGCGTGCATGTCCCGCGGAGACGGGCTCAGCTGCAGTAGCGCATCCGCCGATGGTCGAACCAACCCAACGTCTCCCCTTTATCATATCACATGGCCCTGAGGCCTAGAACTATCTTAAAAAAAAAAAAACGAAAGAAATCACCCTTTCCCCTTCCCAAAGGCAAGTCACCATTATCATACACCTATAGTCCGCCCCCCCCCCCCTCCCCGAGGAACGAACTAGTAACAACTCTCGCAACCACTGCATGCAGCGATTCTAGCACACCGCGCAGCCGTGCTGCTACAAAGGTCCGGTCCAGCCACGTAGGTAAAACTCGTCCGCCGGCACTGCGGTCGATGCGGTCGCCGGGACAGGGGAACTTAGCACCACCGCTGGCCCATAATACCTCGCCGACAGCAGCCGGCGTAAGTCACACTTTGAATCGACAGCGCCGGCGACGAACGAGGCAGTATCGCACCGGCCCGGCCGGTGCCCAGGGGGAGGGACTCTGGGGAGGGGGGGGGAGATCCGTGACCTACCGTGAGTGCCCAGCTGACGGTAAAACCGGTACTCAAGGTGCAGCTGCGGCGCCTTGGACTTCATCGGTTCCTGAGAGACAGAGGGAGAGGATGTCAGAGGGGACACGGAGCAGCGCGGGGTGAACGAATCCAAACGACACTCATCGAACAGCACTGAAGCGTTGGCCTGCACTGTGAAAAATCTAGCAGTAGAGCCTCCTACGTAAATAAGGGTGACCGGTCATGAGTCAAAGGTTACATATCATGGGTCGTAGATCACCGGCCAAGATCACGGGTCGGGGAAACTTCACGAGTCACCGTCTATCCAATGCAATTGCATCACTGCCGAGAGTAATGCCAGCTGGAATCAGCGGACAACAGCGCATTTCTGGCTGCTGGACGGGGCTTCGTGCTGCCAAAGCAAAGGCGGTACGAATGACTACCACGGTAATTCTGAGCATGTCAAAGACAAGCAATAGCCGATGTTGGTAGTGGAACACATCCAGCATCGATATGGAGCGGGACACTGTCCGAAGCGCCGACATGATTCGGACACAAGAGAGCCGAGTCCGAAAAAAATATCACCTTGCACGCCGTGCAGAAAAGTGCTACTCAGTAATGTAAGTACGGTTGGTATCCTTCTGCGTTTCACAAAAAAAAAAACAATCACAAGTTACGATCACCAAAAAACATCGTCACGGATAACTGTATCAACAGAAGCGCACAACAAAAACAGATGCTGTAATCGTGACAGCATTGTGACAAAATGAGCCGTGACATAACCTGACGGAATGGAACCTGAGCCTGACATAATGACAGACAAATGACAGTCAAATGACAGATGACAATCAGCGCTGATAGGTTAGTGACACATGATACATTGACAATGTCAGTAGGGAACGCCCTCCGACTGTTGATCACTGTCACCATGTGAAAACGGCGCCACACCTGACCGTGTTTCCTGGAAATACAACCAGTGTTTGTATCGCGTGACACTTTGCACCTGAATTCCGGGTAATGTTATATCACTAAAGGTGTATATCAGCAGGGTCAAATGTCATGATAGTTGATAAGGAGCGCTTGAGTGAAACACAATCATACCACACCATAACATCTGCAGTCCAGCCAATTACAAAACACCCGCCCCATATTCTTCAATCATGTTTATATCCAAAAGTCCGCAATTTCCCCTCTCCCTATCACCAAACTTCCGAATCTATCCAGTGTCCGTCCCTTTAAAAGTCCCCTGGCGATGCCTATCACATGGCGCAGGCCCACCTGTCCCCGTGATACGCGCCGTGCACCGCCACAGTGCGGCTTATCTTGGACAAACTCAGCATCCAATCGGGCTGTCGCGGCGCCGCCATCCCTCCCCCACCCGCGCGCCGACACGGCCGGCCGGCACACACGGGTCTCGATTAGACCGTGATCAGCGGCGAGCGGCCAGCCGGCCGGCCGGCGAGCTGGCCTTGAGCCTTGACCACCGGCGCTGCGAGCGTGGAGCCGCGCCGGGATATGGAGCCGGCAGTGGCGGCAGTGTGATAACGAAACCAAACACCGATCGGGGGACCCGTGACATGACCCACGCTGATCGCAGCATCAATCAGTGAGAGCACCAGCCCCGACGACAGCCCCGCTGACACGGGATAACCCACGCGGACAGGTGTTAGCGTCGGCTGGTTGGGTTACGCCCGCTCCACTGCCGGCGGGTAGAGTCTGGGTGCCAGCGTGCAGACAACAGAGACACAGTCAGTGGAGGGCGATGGAGATGAGGCCGGCGAAAGAGATGATGGAGATGGATAGAGAGGGAAGAAGATGATGGCTTTTCTTTCACCTCAGTTCATTCCACTGTTGCCGAATCCAATCAGCGGAATCGAAGCATTATCGATCTACCCTGCTATCATGAGTGGAATGAAATACCTGAACGTCCATGTGCAGACGGTCGTGGCTATCCGGTGCCCTCCCGTCCATTACTGCACCACATTCACCCCCGCACTCACAGCACCAACAATTCACGCTACATTTTTTCACCTCAGCCGTTACATCCATCTCGCATACCGCGCCAACCACAGTGCATTTCACCGCCACCATTCCCTTGCAGCCCACAGTGGGTACAGTTGCACAGCGCACATCCCCACCAAACATCACGCAGACAGTCACAGTAAACAGCCAAGCACGTCAGTCACACATACAGCCACCGTTGCGATCTTTATCACAGCCAAAGTCACTCAGTCAGTCAGTCACAGTCACAGGTACATTTCCACTCGGTCAGTCAGTCACAGGCACTGCCACCGCCATTCGGTAATAGCTCAGCCATTCAGTCAGTCATAGCCCTGCGGGGTCGGGGAACCTGTGACGAAACACCACCACTGTCCCGCATCGCCGAATTTCCGGCAAAGTGGTCTCGAAAGTGAGCCAGCCGCCCGTGCCGGGGACCGTGCGCCACGCGACAGTAGCCTGGGGCGGCTCACAGCGGCGGCACAGGCGAGAGGCGCGAAGCGCGGCGGCGTCAACATAGAAAAACGGCAACTGGCAGCGGCAGACAATGCGAAATACGAAACGGTACGGAAGGGGAGGGGGACCAGACTGGATGCTGGCATGTCGAGACAGCGCACGAAGCGCAGAAGATGGTGGAACCCATTCAGATGATTAATATGCAGATAATCCCATGCAATATGCGTAAGCACCACTCAGGAATATCACTCGTGAGTGCTGGTGAAGGCCATACCTTCGGGAGAAAGGGACCAGTGTCCATTGGGCAGACTACCCCAGTCTGCTGCGGCAGAGGCTGGGTTGACGACAGCCATGGGCAAACCATACCCGTGACGGAACGGGTTGGACAGAAACAGAGCCGATACCAACGAGTTCGAATTCTGATACTCCAGAATCTCCAGAATGGCGTCATCCAAACCATGACGCCATCGGCAGCGATCCGGCGCGGATGCCGTGCCCGGCAGCGAACGGCGAGTCTCACCGATACCCCAACGGTCAGCGGCTTGCGTCATGTCGAGCAAACCGTGACGATGAGCAGTACCTACGAACGCCAGTGACTACCGAAGTGTCCGTTGTTCAACAAGGCTACTGAGGAGCGGACCTCTAGTTCAGTCGGCCACAGCGTGTCATGGGGCCAAGAAGGGATGGCTCAAAGCATGAACGGCAAAGTAGTCTCGGGTCCTGATGCTAGGGTCGGTAGATACCCGACTCGAGCGAAAGAAGCGGTAAAAGGAATAAATGCGAGCGATGTGACAGGACGGCAATCGGTTTTTGATCGCGTATCTGATCAGAAAGATAAAATGAAACGGAACGAGAGGTGCTGCATGGTGCATGCATGGTGCTGTCAATGGTCAGTTGTGCATCACGAAATAGACAAGTAAGGGGGACACAGTTAAATGTCACACAAAGAACCGATACAACACAGAGCAGTAAAAAGGATCAATAATGATTAGGTCAAGGGAAAGCGTTGTTCCGGTAGATAAAACGAGACAAAAAAGGGCCACAGTACACAAGAACCTAATGGAGGCAACAGTACAAAGAGATAGCTTACAGTCTAAAACGTTACGCTGTGCACACTGCACAGACCGGAGCCTGGGCCAACTGCACAGAAAGAACGGTGACAGGAACTAGACTCCAACTAGGTCAAAACAAGAATCCACCAGGGATGAATGAGGATGGAAGCCAACACAATTTAAGCTTGATAACCATACAAGTGGCGCAAACTGGTTGCGTGTATGAGGATAATGAAAAGAGTAGCTGAAGTGTATTCATTCAAGGATAGGGCCAATGAGTATCCGTAACTTATAAATATGCAACGACAAACATCTCTACGATCCAAGAAGCCCCATTGGAAGCCAAACATGCACGATACATCCCGCACCACCCCTGGCTCCAACCACCCAATCGCCCCACTCACCAGTTTGATGGCGACGTGTTCGCCATTGTACATGTTCTTCCCCAGGCGCAGCTCGCCAAAGTTGCCGCAGCCGATCTTTTTGCCGACCCTGAAGTTGGATCCGACCATCAGCACGCCTCCAGAGCTGGAGCTGGACTGGCGCGAGCCGGTGCTCTGCACAGTGGCCCGGCTGGAGGAGGGCAGGCGGGCGGCGCGGCGGGCGCCCTCCTCGGCCGCCGGGGTCTTCTCCTTGCCCGTCTTCTGCATGGTTCGCGGCGCGGCGCCCGGCCCTCCGCCGAAGTAGCGGGACGCCGCGATGCCGAAGTGAGACGTGTTGGCGGCCGGGGCGGGGGCGGCGGCGGCGGCGGCGGCGTCACGCGCCCGGCTGGCGGCGGGAGCGGCGCGGCGACGGCCTACTGACGCCCATCGGACGGCGCCGCCGGCTGGGCACCCGCGGCTGCAGTGGCAGCGGCTCGGTCACGGCTCGACGGAGACCAGGTGCCGGCGCAGCCCCGCTGGTCCACAGTCACCTGGTGGCAGCAGAAGGTTCATATGAGCGCACTAATCCAAACGGGGATGACCTGTGGGGCAAATGGTTGAAGATACTGAATCTTAGGTCATGGGCATATGATGATGGCTTGTGATTTTTGGGCGCCCGGACTTCAGAGGACATCGGCGCCCATAATCATGGACGTAAACTATCCTGCTCTGAGTTGGCACGGAAAAAAGTATTGTTTCAGGACATTGATCGATGACCTAAACAATATTATAATGCAGCGGTCACTTGGTGCTTCAAAAAGAGAAGATTGCTACATGCCAATAAAGGTATATGCATCCACAACACTGCCATAGTCACTCTCAGTACCAACTTCCACGCCCATTCTCTGGAAAGTGGAAGGAGATCAAATGATCAAGCAAATATTCAAGTCATATAAGTCAAATCATTAGGAAAAGTTAGCAATGATTTACAAATTACACACTATTTTTCTTTTTACTATCACCTGTATTCATATCCAGACATCTATATAGAAAAGCTAGGCACTTTGTGTTAAAACATGCCAAGTTGAAATAAGTTATAAATCTGCAAAATGAACCAAAAAGGAAACTTGTCATAAAACCAGTGGTTCTAGCACACATGGAACTTTTTGATGGATGTAAAGAAACTCATGTTATTTATTATGCCAGGTGACAACATCAACAGCAACCATTTTAAGTGTGAAACTCATTGTCATCATTGCAATGTCACTAAATGCAAATTCATAAAGTCAAATTACCTATTTCCCTTAATGACTTGTGAGTGATGAGTTTGTAGGAATGTGATGTATTCCTCCTTGTATTCAATTAACTAAGCCAGCAAAGCATCTGCATATAGTTAAATCATAGTTAGATCAATCCACACTTTAAGAGCAAGTCCACCATTATGTAACTGATAGATGACAAATGGATGGCTGATCACTGATGGCAGCCAAACCTTAAATTGAAGAGATAGTGACCTTGGTCATGAAATACCATTCAATTCTACATGGCATTTAATGGGTATTCTGAAGTTGAGAAACCATTATCAACAAAGAGGTACAAGAAAGCATGCTTTACAAACACAATGCTCTATCCTCTCTAAAAATGGAAAATAATGCTAGATTTAGAAGGCTGAATAGTCTGTAGCATGTCCCCAATGAAGATTTGACAATCCTCATGTGATAAAGTGGATTTAAATTAATAAAATGAATTTCTGCTATATGCCTAAGTCACTACTAGATAGAAGTGGTCAGCTTGTCAGCCCAAAAAAGACCACAAATTTTATCAGCTACACAAAAAACTGCAGATCAAAATATCAGTAGCTATAACTACCTTTTGTACCTACCCTTTAAGAACTATAGTTTCACAAAATAAAAAATGAAAGAAAAGAGCACATCTTTCTAAGCTTGAAAAGTGACACCACACATCGATGCTTGCAATCCTTTTTACACAAATATTGATGAGTAAGTTACACCTGACCACCCCATTGAGTCAGGTAAGGTTAGGTTATGTTAGGTTAGGCCTGGTTATCATTATTTTAGGTTGTGGTAGTTCTGCGTGTAGTGTACCCACTTTTTAGGATAAATTATAGGGAAAAGATATGCCATTTTCTAGGTTATCATAGGTTAGTGACAAAATGGTGTGGTTTTCATTTAATTTTTAGCCTAGGGCAAAATAGGTGACTCTTACCAAGATAACCAATTGTGAGGTTGGTGAAGCCTAAAACCAGCTTTAAACAGATGTAACCAATTATTTTCTGTTAGCCAAACTGAAACTGGCCTCTGAAGCAACTACCCACAAAAAAAGATGGAACCGATCCTTCCAACACAAGGATCCGCTAGCAAATACTTCTTATTGAAAAATGGGATGATCATGTGAACTTCAATCATTTACACGAGGTTAGCAATCAAAACATATCAATTCATGTGACAGCAATAAATCATATCGAGCTTCAGCTGGCAGGGCTCGAGCAGTGCCGACTGACGAGGAGGCAACGCACTTTCTACTTCTACTTACTCTTTATCGTAGATAAAGATTAGCAAGCCATGTCTTCAAGGCACAGTGAAACAATCAATTATTTTTTAATTTGCGTCCACTGATCACTGGCACAATAATGGTACAATCAATTATTTACAAAACTGTACACGGAACCCCACCCGAACCTCACAGATCTCACAAATTCACACACAGAAACCACAGAAACATTGCGCTCTGCGCTCAAGGTGACGCAAATTGAGGACTGAGACGATTGCGGCGCGGCTTCACTTTCCAAGGCAAATGGTAATAACTTTCAGCTGATTATTTTCGCTACGGTATATTTTTTTCTGGAAATGTGTTTTTTCTGATATTCAGCTAAGCATTTTGATGTTTGAAAAATTGCTTTCAATTTTGTGCTTCAATGCTAAAAAGTAAAAATGTCGACTTAAAAGAGGTGTAGGGTCGTTACAGGGAAGGACAAGACATTGGTGAGGGGTAATGATAATAAGTCTTTGCCCGTCTAGGGAAATGATAAACCTGATTTCAAATATACTTTTTTAATAATATATCACAAAGTAAAGCAAAAGCTATATACACACATTGATAAGCCCTGGAGACCTTGAATAGGTATGTCGTGTATGGTCTTGTCACATCTTGGCTGAGGAATGAACAAACAGATCGTGCAACCTCCGCATGTCAATGCTATGGAATGCATGGTGCCTAATTTTCAATTAAATATTTTTAACAAACATGTTCAAACTGATGCATCGGCAAAATTAGGCCATAATGTCTCGTTTTCGACCTGTTCTCGATCTTCAGGTGCTGCCACCTTTTGGCTGACTCAATCAATACAGTCCACGCAATAGTAAATCTTAGAACTAGGTGGCGCTGTGCTTCAAAGATTGTATTCACAGGTGGCGCTAGTAGCTACTTACGCAGCTGGGTTAGGTATATACGATCATACAGCACAAGATCCGTAAGACCGTAAGTACACCGATCGGTAATTTTTCCAGCCTCAACACATTCAAGTCCATCTCCTCCACACCGCAAGCCTGTTGATGCCGGCTGAACGGTCATATCTATACGACGTGGGTGGGTATCTCCATCGCAGGGCCAGGTCCACGGTCCGGTGCGGTGAGCGTTAGCGGGGCTGTGTGGCCTATTCGCGTGATGGGCTCAGCTCCGGCGGAGCACCAGGATGCCTGAGCAGACCAGTGTCTCCACCGTTCCATGCTTCTATCCTCAGGATGCAGAAATCCTTCTCCTCCACGCCGCAACCCCCCTCCGGGCTGGGCAGGCAACTTTATCTCATGCGGGCTGCTCCCTTGCAGCGGCACCGCTGCTCCCGAGGGAGCGCACCCCGTAGCCGGGTGCAGTGAGTACCTTGGGGCTGCCCGGCCTGTCCTTCGGGATGGGCTCAGCCCCGGTGACTCACTAGGGTGCCTGCCCAGACCAATGTCTCCCCCTATATCCTATCATCCTCCCGGCTCTGAAATGGTCTAATTGGACCGAAAGGGCCTAACCCAACAAAACAAACAAACAAGAACCAGTGTCTCCTTCTAATTCCTAGTATCCTTCCGGCTTTGGAAATGTTTCATAAGACCGAAAGATCCTAGCCCTACAAAAGAAACAGAACAAAACAAGAGCATTACTCAGCGTCAACGTTCAATAGTTACGTCTGGAATCTAGAGGCTTGTTATTCGCCTTCCGGTGTCATGGTGTCTCAAGTTCCACGCGCCCATCCTGTCAGGAAATGGTCGGTGAACCAGGAGCCAGGTCACGGATGGCGCACCGCGCGCTTTGACCCGATTGCGATGTCTACAAGGTCCCGATCTGCTGACAGCTATTCGTTTTCGCGTCACTTATCAGCTTGTGTGTCTTTCTCCTATGATCTGCAGGGCTCAAAAAAAGCTCCGTCCTGCCGATGAGGTCGGCGACCACGAATGCTATAACATTTCCCAGTGGTGCGACCAAAAACGCGAAATATCAAACAAATTTTCGAAGAATATCTTTAAAAACTATATAAATATTGTTAAGAATATTGCCATAACTTCAGCATCACTTATGCGCATCATTAAGTCATTGGTCACCATGGTTACTTCCACGGTACAACCTGGACACTGGACGGTGAGCAAACATACCACTGTTGTAGGATAAACTACCACCTTCCGCACACGGGAATACTACCACGTTTCCCCATCGGCGCTCGTCGGCGTTTTCTGTGCGACCACCCGTGTTAAACCAATGGGGAAGAGCGGTTGTCAAAATCGCCGACGAGCGCCGTTCATTGGTCGCCCAGATGGTCTCCTACTACGCAGTAGGTACGCGGGCGTATTTACAAATTGCAACCGAGCTCCGCCGTAGGGTATTTTATTTCCGCCGTAGTGTATTTCAGTTGGGGTATTTTCTACCATACATCTGCCTGAGCTTGGGGTAATTACAATTTGTCGGCGACGTTAAAAAATGATGCACCTTTTTTCGCAGTATAGGTTATCGCATGTGCATATTTTTGTCTTTTTGATTGCGCTTTTCCCTCGCCCGTATAGGGGGAGGCGTTGAGCGGACCCCATCGGTTTTTCGTGAGTAACTCGCGTAAAAACCGTCCGATCGCGACGAAACTTTCAATACCCCCGATTTTATCAATTTTACTCCTGCCCTGAAAATTTCATGACCCTGACCCAAATGACCTTTGACCTGTGACCTATTTCTCGAGGCCATGTTTGGCCCGAATCGCGATTCGGCGTATGTCGGCTCGCATTAGCCGCGCGTTTGCAGTCTTAACGTGGTTTCAAGCGTTGAAATATGTGATATGATGCTGGTCCCATGCATCAGGGTGGGTGTCACATGAAGGTCAGGTCAGCTCAATGACCTTTGATGACCTCGGTTCACTTTTTCGAGTTTAACATGTTTCTAGGCTAGTTTTTGGAGCTGATTTCGAATTTAGCAACCACTTGAACATTACAGAGGGTGTAACGAAATTATCCGGACATCTTGCTTCCCGCTGTAATTAAAAAGCAAAACATTCTGGTACTTTTTATTTTGATTGAGCATGTAGCCACCTTTCATAAAAACACAGTGGCGAATGTTTTGGAGCATTTCAGCCAATGTTTTCTCCAGCACACTGGCTTTGATGCGGAACAACGCCGTCTAAACCTGTGGCAGCGGTTGGGCGGTGCTTGTGGCGGGCGTCTCTTCAGTCACCTAAGCCGTAATCGCCACGCCATATGTGGAAGGCTTTTGGTGTCAATACATACATACATACATACTGAACAAGAGCCCACAGGTTTTCGATTGAATTGGGATCGCGACTTTTTCCAAGTCATAAGCGTTAGCCCAGAATGATTGAAGGTTCTATCGGCATCACTTCCCGTTCTTTTAGGGACTTTTAAGTAGCGCGCCGTCCCGCATGAAGACAGCGTGGCTTGAATCAGGCATCAGTGCGCGTTCAGAAACCGAGCCCTCAGGCGCTCAACCAGACGGTATAGGAGGGCCTCCTATACCGTCTGGTTGAGCGCCTCCGACTATTCATTGGCCAGTATGTTTCTCCTGTAATACTTGACGTTGATGGCGGTATTTTGTGACACTATGTTCTATTGGAGGATTGCTAGGCAGCTGAACATGCTCCAGTTCTGGATGTTGTCCGGATGTTTGACGGCGGCGAAGGCCAGCAAGTTCGAGCGGCTGGCCGCCCATACATGGCCGATTTGACGGTTCAGAGGATAATACAGCTCGAACGGCTACCCATCCAACCAGACCACCTCACCCTTATCATTCTTCAACCAGTGGACGCGATCTGGCGTGAGGCGAAAGGTGGTGAACTGGTTGTTTTCCCGTCAGTTTCGTTGTCTTTTTCAGTTTGAAGGGCACTAGAACCAAGTTAAAGGGCGGGTAGCGGTAAACCATGATATGGGATCTCTTATTAGGTATCTGACTTGGTAAGAATTCGAGTCAATTTGCGGATTGATTGGTGCCGTTTCCTTGCCGCTATCTTGATGACTCTCCTCACCACTTGACAAAGGGCGGCTTTTGTGGTCGCGACTGGGCTGAGTCTGCCACCGAAGTCCCAGATTATTACACCTCAGGCAGATGTGCAATTGGCTGCTGCTGATGTCCAGCTGCTGGCAGACCAGCTTCTGGCTCATGACGCCGTGGATGCCGCCATGCAATTTTACCACGAAAGGAGAGATTGTATCCCTTTCTCGCAACTGCCTTGGACGAAAACTACCATGTGAACCCGTCTGTGAATCGACTCCTACTCAGAGCAACAGTCACATGACAAGGTCAGGTCACTGCTGAGTTGAAAACCGATAGCAGAGGCACGTATTCATCCAATATTCCCACTTCTAACATCAGAAAGGATAAGGAAACTGTGCAAACAGATATGGCGAAAAAATAGATGTCCGGATAATTTCGTTACACCCTGTACTGAAGTAGTTTTAGTGCCTTCGTAACATGTTACGAAGCTGTCAGAAAAAAAGCGTTCTGCCCCTCCAACTTTTGCTTATTTGTAGAACTTCGTTGCTTAGCAAACCACTATGTTGTTCGCATTGAGGAGCTTTGAAATGTCTGTGTAATTCAAAATGTTAGTTCTGTAATTAAAAGAATTGATTCAGTGTTGCACATAACCTAACTTAACAACCGAGCATTGCAGGTTTGACAGCTTTTTGCCCCACCAGCACCACCTTCGCTGGAAAAGCTCCACCCTTGCCTATGGGGCAAAACATAAGGGACAAAAACACAAAACAAGACAGATAAAAAACAACACAAAATGAACTCATTGCCTAATGAAGTTCAGTCTGGAGCAAAAACATAGGTAATAGGCATCTATGTCAAATTAGAATGAAAGATTAAAATCAACTTGACCAGGTCTTATGGTCTGACCTGATCCTGACTGCCTTACTTCACCTAACCCCAATTCATATATCGTTGAGAGCTGCTGCGAGGAGCATGATAAATGTAGGAAGTATCATTAGAATATATGACCTTCTCCTCGGAAAATGACCAAATGAATGAAAATGATTATTTATTGATGAATTGATATATGATTGATGATTGATGAAATGATTATTTATTGATCAATTCATCAATAAATAATCATTTTCATTCATTTGGTCATTTTCCGAGGAGAAGGTCATATCTTCTAATGATAACCCCAATTCAACCTAACCTACCACAACACCTGCAGAGGTACCTTCCTGGAAAATCACGCCCAGGGAGGTGTCCAACTTATTGGAATATTACCATGATTGCTTGTCAAAATGTGTGTCATCATGGTCTTGTTTGACAAGTGATGTATAATAAATGTGACATTCAAAAATGACCTCCTGACTGTTGAGTGATTAGAATCTTCAAATAATCAGGGTACAATGCTGTGCATCATAGTGCACACTAGTCATGTTGTTTTTGTGTAGGCCCTCTGCACATTATTGTGTACACTGCCATGTGCACCTTAAGGAAAAAAGTGACTAGTGGTGCATAAAAAAGGTTGTGCAATTGTGAAGTTCATGCCCTTGGTCTTGCTGGAGCCAAATGCCTATAGCTATAGCAGGATCAGTGAGGGTTGTAGACATGCTACATACACTGTGAATTGAAGATATTGGCACAAAGTTCACCCATAGGTAATTACTATGCTTAACACCTAATGTAAGAAGCAACATAAATGCCCAGATGATACAGCAACAGCTCTCTGGTCAACATCACACAAATTTATTGACATACTTTGCAGGTACATATTTACATTCATAGCAAATACTTTCGATTTGATTCAATAACTAGGTGCTAGTAAGCTTGCATTTTTGTAGGTACAACAATGAACATATATTTAATCATAAAAAACTTTCTCATGACATTGATCACATACCTTTTTACCGAACAAGTACCTATCTACCATGCAATGATTCTAAATTTTGTCCGCAATGTACCTACCTATATCTCAACTGACACATTGAAATTGAAATACCCTAACAAAACCAATAACTGTACAAAAGGAGAATGCAATTCTACAAGAACTATGAAGTTCTGAAGTTATTCTCACATGCTGGAATGTTGAAACTCTACTTTTGTCGTCCATTTCCACGTTTCATTGAGCAATCATATAGAACTGTTTTCGCTCTTCAATCATAAGCTTTTGCACAAATCTTGAATTTTTACACATCATCTTGAACCATGCTCCAGTCTTTCCAACAAGGTACTATGGAACATCAAAGCAATTTTGATTTGTTGCAACAGCTTCAGATCATGATAGGCTTGAAGTTTGTTACACCATTTGCCAGACAAACCTCTACAAAATGTGTATCAATTCCCAAACTAAGCAATTGATTATATCAGTATTTGCGGTTTCCACACAATGTTTCATAATATTATTCGATTTTTATATCAAGAAACCCAAATAATCCACAAATCGTTATTGAAACACTCCCACTTCAAGAGTTCACACTCACACAAGTTCAGAAGCAAATAAACATTGCGCCAGATTTCGTATGAAACGCGCCATCATCCTGAAGTTTCTACCACAGACGGTAGTTTAACCGCAGCCGTAGTGCGAAAACCCCTGCCCACCTTACCCCACGGCGGAGCTCGGTTGCAATTTGTAAATACGCGGTACGCGGCGTGGCGTATTACGGGACGGGACGCTCACCCACCGCGCCGGCCCGGCCGGCCGGCCGCCAGCTGACTGCCACCGTGGGGGAAGGGACGCCGAGGGGGAGGGGTGGCGTCCGTCGGGTCAGCCAGGGGAGGAGTAGGGATTCGGGCACAAAATTTCACTCTCGTTTGTTATGGTGTATTTAAGCTGCGTTCGGACAGCCCGGTCACTGCGTGGAACTTCCACGCCGAGGAATTCCTCACGCAAACGCGTTCAGTCAGCGCGAAACACTATGGCCAAGCGGCCGAAAGGCGATCGTTTCCGTGAGGAGCTCATCGGCGTAGAAACTCCACGTGGAAACCGGGCTGTCCGAACGCAGCGTTAGCGATCAAACCACTGCTTTTAATTCATGTTGTAATTGCAGATTCGTGTACATTGGTGGCGCTTGATACGTGCTACGGTGCTGGGAATAGCAGCATTAGAAGTTAATTGGTTTAAAAAACGTTCCATTGCCTGTGCGACAACCAAAGAGCTATGGGCAGAGTACCTACTGGGCAGCCGGTGCTGCGACCACAATCTGAATAAAACTTTTGGTCGGCGACCACCAAACAGCTTTTTTGAGCCCTGATGATCTGCTTAATGTATTCCACAATCCATAACACTAAATGATCAGTTATTGCAGAGAGGCTGGCATGCTCCTCAAACCCCGTACGTTCCCGCCATGACAGCTGTTTTTTCGCATCTCCTGCTCCCACCTCTCTCAAGTCTCCGCTAACGGCGATACTGTGTATTACATAGACATATATCGGTGTGGGGCGCCGGGCGCCGCCTGCACACAAAGCGCCGGTCTCTATCTGTCGAGACGCGGGCGTGTGCGGCCGCCGCGCCCCGTCCGCCGGCGGCTATCACAGACACGTCCCGGGGCGCCGGCTAGGAATCACATCGCGGCGGCGGCGCAATGATCGCGCCCGCCGCCGACGTTGACGTCACAGAACACTCATAACATACACACGCATACATCTGCGCACACGCGCGTGGCACGCGGCGACTGAGCGCGGCCGCCTGTTGGGCGCGAGCGTGCGCGCGCGGGGCGGCGGCCGCCAGAGATCCGGCGTCTGACGTCACCCGCAGCGAGCGGTGACGTCAGAGCGCGTGCTGCCGCCGCCGGGGGGTGACGTCACACATCACTTGTCGGCGGTGACGGCGCGCTCCATGGAGAAGCGGAGCGGCACGGAGCCCTCGACCCAGTAGCCGGGCCGCTCGATCAGCTGCTCCCAGAGAGCGCGCTCCTGGCCGGCCGCGTCCATCCAGTCCACCGGCTTACCCAGCTGCTTCCCTGTAAACAGTAGAAACCATACGTCAGCTATATAGACATCACAATCCATCCAGTCCACCGGCTTACCCAGCTGCTTCCCTGTCAACAGTGGAAACGAAACGTCAGATAGAGAGACATCAGAGTCCTCCAGTCCACCGGCTTGCCCAGCTGCTTCCCTGTAGAAACAAAGCAGAGAAAATAAGAGCTTACATAGAGTTATTTGTGGAGTTGAGCCAGGGACAGGAAGGCTCGAGGTGTGCCTCAAAGGAGGTTATCAGAAGCTAACTGAAGACGCCTTATGGTTGAGGGTAACATAAGGGTACCTATGGCATCATGAGGGTATGAGGGTTATTGAGCGAACCTATGGCCCAGGGCCATCGAGCGTACCCCACTCACACAAAGGGTCACATCCTGCACGCAAACTATTTTCAAGTTCACTTATACAAGCTATGCATGTTTGGTTTCACATAACTCAGAGGTGATACCTTGTTTCATATCGCTCAGATGTGATGTCTTGTTTCACATCGCTCGAGGGCCATTTATATACCAGTCGCTAAGGTCTCAGCTCGTATAACCGACTCTAACCAGCCTCCAGCAAGTTCACCTGTGAGCGGCAAGTTGGCCGTTTACTGCAGGGGGCGCGGCGCGGAACGTTCCCAGTGACACGGCACCGGCGTGTCGGCCTGCCCCGGACCCGATACCGCTGCCCAACACCGCGCGCTGATGGCCTATAACCCGGCGCCAGCCACTCGGTTACCGGCGGGTCACCGAGGAAGGGCGAGCGGAGCGCCCCGACCGGACGCAGGAAGGGAGTTTACTGCCGCAGCCGCTCAGATTGATGTCGAGGCATTAAAGTCGAGAAACATGGTCGGCACATTACGTTACTGGAGTAGACGACGCGATGCTCTGCAGATATCTGTTGATGAAGATTGAATTGGGCGGAGTCTCAATAACGCACGACGAACTTTGGTATGTAAGCATTCACGATAAGGTGCATGGCAAGCGCAACGAGGTAAGTTGTGAGTGTGAGAGAGGACATATCGCTTCAATAAATTAGCGATGAAATTAGCGACGTAAAGCCTAGCGCAAGTTTAAACAGCTTTGCAGGGTCGCCCACAAACTTTTCCCATTAAATCTCTCTGCTGACATCCACTTAGAGCAGTGCATCCAGAAGACGTTGCCAGATGTTGCCAGGCAAAAACAAGCTCAGGTGAGCATCCGGTAACGATTCAATCTGAGCCCGAGTTGCATCAAAGCGATGTCTTCAAAGTATCCGATGAGCAACTATGAACGCACAATGGTTCCATCAAGCACAGGCGAGCTATCATAAACAGCTTGCTGGCAAGGGATGGCCCGGTAAAATATTTTACCCCGACTGAGATCCTTTGCTATCAGATGTCGGATCAATCTATATCAATCTGTAGGTATATACTTTATATATCTATATGTCAACATGCCAATATGTATCTGTCAATATCTATCAATACTTTGTTATCTGTCTCTGTGACGCACCCGATCCGAGGTTGAAGCGGGCGCCGCCGAGGAACTCGTTGGATGTGAGGCTGTGGTCCCAGATGGTCAGCTCCAGGGCCCGCTCTCGCAGCTCTCCCAGACTGACGTTCTCGTAGGTGAGCGTGCCGCTCCAGCGAGGGCACGTGGTCCGTTTCGCCACCGGCGTCTTCTGCTTGCTGTTCTTCCTGTCCGGCAGGAGGTAGCTGCGGGCGAGGGATGCGAACTTCGATATTACAGTTTGCACGGTGCTATCACAGTACTCGGATATTGTAACGTGAGTTTCATACACGATGTACGTATGTTCACTAAAGTAACGACTAAGACTTGTTATAGAGTACAACCGAGCGTATTCGCAAGGTAACGATGAAAATATTATACGTCTTTTTTATATAATTGCCACAAGACTGTCATAGTAACACAAACGACTGTCTTCACCTAGCGGCCACTCCAGCGTGCCACCACGCTCAATAGCCCGTAGCCCTCCCATCCACCTCCCCTACTGACCACTTGCAGAAGGGGTCAGCCGAGCCGTTGGCGCGCACTGGCGCCAGGTTCTTGGCCTCCTTGATGGTGATGTGCAGCCGACCCTTGGTCTTGCGGCCCTTTCGGCCCAGGCTGCCATCTGGCGGCGTGTATTTGAAGGCGACGATGACGTCCCCGCGGTGGCCGGGACTCTCCTCCTGAATCTCACTCTGTTGGACACAGCAGGCAGTGGGAGTTAGTTAGGTGGTTACGAGTTAATTGTTACTATCTATACACGGCACACGCGGCATTGACGTACTGGTCTGCGAGCATTGGGCTGGAAATGCAACCAAGTGGCAGAAAAGTCGATTTAATATACCTAAACGATGACGATAACTCAACTGACTCGATCGACTGACTCCTCGACTAGCTTTTAAACGTAATCAATAAAAATACCTGTTAATAGTCCCAGTAAATAAGTTCAAACAAAATCAAATATCGCACGGTTCTGCAATGCGACAACAGGGTTAGTAACATTTGCTCGAACTTTAAAATCTCGAGCTGAGCTCTATGCCTAAATTGAATCAGGAACTACATTAGCGTTCCATTTCCTATCCATCCTTTGTACTAAGAGGCACAAGGTGCTACGTTAGAATCCGTGCCGTGAAGGAGGAACGATATCACTGCCTCATACGAGCGTCTGTCTCGATTTGAAATTCCCGAGCACCGCCTCCTTTATCAAACACATGAACAAAACGGATTTCTCGTTAACTAGCGTGACATAACAACCCAGTAATGATTGACGCTTGGTCTCCGGCTAATACCTCGCTTACCTTCCCACTCATTCAGTGTGTACCGGACAGACCGGTGTGTACCAAGGAGTACCCACTCCGTACGTACCCCGCGCTTCTACAGTGTATACCAGTGTGGACTGGGGTATATCAGGGGGTACCTGTTGAGTGTTTCGTACGTACCCGCTCCTGCAGAGTGTACCAGTGCGGACTGGGATCGTCGAACAGTGTCCGGCAGATGGGCAGCACCAGCTCGCCAAGGAAGTCGTTGCGGCCGAACATGTCGCTATGCCACACGGTCACCCAGAGGGTGCGGCTCTCCAGCTCCGCCTCCACGGCCGGGAACTGACGACAAGGCACAGAGGTCACAGAGGGGTCACAGAGGGGTCACAGAGGGGTCACAGGGGAGTCACAGGGTCACGGAGGGGTCACAGGGTCACGAAGGGTCAATGAGGGTCACAGGGTCAATGAGGGTCACAGGGTCACTGAGGGTCACGGCGGGTCATGACAGGTCACAACAGGCCATGAAGACCCACATCGGGTCTAAAAGTGTGACGGAAAGTAACAGTCATGCAAGGTCACAGTAGATCATGGCAGGTCACGGAGGGGCCTACGTCGAACCACGATGGTTCAGGACACATCACAGCGGGCTACGATAGATCAGGATAACTCAGAACGGGTCAGAGATGGTCACTTGGGTCATGGCATTGGCAGGTCACAACATATCACTTATAGGTCACGAAAGGCCAGGTCAGTGCGTGGGTCATGGCTGATTGAGTGTGGTTACCACAGGTCATACTTGGTCGACTCTATATAATTGAGAGGCACAGGGCACTGTATCAGAAAAGATGTGAGTAGAGATAAATTCTGGCCTCTTAAAGACAACTGCAAGCCAAAGAATTGATTCTCAGGTCAATATCATCAATTGATGAGCCAGTGAAATCACCGGGTGTTGTTATTTCTGGTCAAAAGTCGCCCATGATTTCGAAAGCCACGCGAAAAAGACGTATTTAGTGACATCAGTCAGCCTGAGTTTTTTTTACATTAGCAGTTACTTTTGGGCATGGTTGTTGAAACGTGTAGGCGACGGCCTAACAATGACCCCAACCGGCGATATTTGTGTTGGAAAAACTCACCTAAGGTGTACTTTTAGTTCAATATGCTCAATAAGTCGATATGTTTCAAATTTGATAAAGCCAATGGCGAAGTTTACCACGGTGCAGTTACTGTTTTGGAAAACTATTCGGGGCGAGCAATATATTATGAACCGTATTGCCTATCGACAAAACATGCCAACCCGTCTGCCGAGTGGGACGCTATCTCTGTAACTGTCTTCACACAATCATAATAAATCGACTGACGTGCTCGTGTTTGGTGCGTTATGATGCGCACGTGACGAGCTTAATATGATGAAGCTCATTTTTTCCCAACGGAAGTCTTCATAAAACGGTTCTCACCTTCAGCGTTTCGTCGAAGATGGGGTTCAGGGTGTGCTTTTTGGTCTTCGTCTTCCGCTTGCCACTCTTTGACCGGTCAGGCAGCAGGTACGCCTTGACGTAGCTGTAAAAAAGCACGGAAACCGATGACATCAGACTATTTATGAATTCAATCGAAGGCATCGCCCCCAACCAATAAACCACGATAATCATCAATTGTGTCCATATCTTAGAATGGTAATTTATGTCAAAATTATGTGCTAACATTTATCAGAACAAAATTTAGGTAAAAGGGCGACGATAAGAACACCATTGGCACCGAACAGAATAATCGATTAGCAGTCATCACACGGGCAGCCATTCAACGCATCCACATCTAAACCAGAGCACACTATTCGCAAATAGCCCACAACACCGATACAAAACACCAGTCTAATTACGTTACAAATAACACCGGCCTGCACTCACGGGTCAGAGCGGTTGCGTTTGGTGTCGACGGCGGCCAGGTCTCTGCACTGTTTGACGGTGACCTCGAGGGCGCTCTGCTGGTAGTTGTACTGAAGTGCCAGCTGCAGGTCGCCGCGTACCGGTACCGTACCGTACCGCGCCTCGCCGGCCGAGTACACGCTGGCCATCGAGTCACTGCGGGACTGAACAAAAGGTAGGTACGGGTTAGAGGGTACACGGAGTACAATGTAAACGGCGTACTGTGCGGATTGGGGAGTTCGGTATAAGCATTACAGCTCTCATTATTGGACTGATTGAAGCTCAATATTTCACAGGCTACGCTTAACGCTGCATACTTCCAAGAAGTGCAGCGGAAGGTCAGGTCTCGACATGACAATGTGGGTTAAATAAATTAGAGGGTCACAGGAGGTCACGCGACATCGAGTGACCCTGCTCAGTTCACGGGAGATCATAACAGACGGGATACCGCTCAGGCCAGATCCTCGTGCATTGAGAGGTCGGTATCGTCAAATAAGGGGCGAGACCCTCACCAGTCGCTAAGGAACGACATAAATTGGCGACGAGAGTCGGGCGACACAATACAAGTAATTTAATAAATCGATAATGGTGAGAGAAATCCCGATATTTTTATTTAGCTCATCAAATTACCATGAAACATACGTGCAGAGGGGCACACACACGAAAAGCTAGTTTTATTTTCAGCGTCTTTCTACGCAATGCAGGGTGTACACAAAAGACCAGACGAAGAAGCTTTAATAAATTATCCATCTCAGCCTGTCGTACTCAAAGTCCAGCTTCCCATCATTTTACTCATGCTGCGACTCTGCCGCCTTTCTTTGCGATTTTACCATACATCACTTCCATTTCTCTATCAATGCGGCTGTATCCACCATAGGTACAATCTGTGCTGCCGGGTTACCCACCACCTGCACCGGGCCGCTATCCTTTCCTGTCCACTGAACGATATCGGTCAAGGCCAATGAGCACCACAGCGGGCCGGAACAACCCACCTGCGACAAAGCGCATAGACGTCTCCCGCCCCGCGTCACCCTAAACTCGTAGTGTTTGTTACCCATGCCGCCCCCGAATCTTGTGTCTCACTTTCTCACAAAGGTGTCAGTATGAACATTTCTCTGGGTCAGGTCACGGCGGCTGACAGCTTGCAGGTGCAGAGCGTTAAGTGGAATATCATTTAAGGGCAGGCCGTACCGCGGAGATTTTTACAAAGGCATGGCGAGCAGTGAAAAAAAGGTGATAAACGCAGGAGGATGCTTATTTAGAACGCGACAGCCGTAGATGTTCAGGCATGGGGAAAATGTATTCGCTTAACAAAAAAGAGCCAAGGAAATATAAATAAAATTACAGCCGGAAACTAGACTAGCCGTAATCCCTTAATGCTTGTATCAGGCTTTGACAAAGCTTTCATGGGCTTATTCCATCAAGCGGTGTACGACAGAAAAAAAATACATAGCAAATGACGGGAGTGACCCACGCGATATCCGCTGCATTACGCTCGTCCAGGTAATTTGGCGATGTTAATTGCTCCAGGATAAAAAGCCGTCATACTCGTAGCAGCTGGATCCAGGCAGGTATGATTAATACTGGCCAGGGATGAGGCATGAAGTATCATAGACAAATTACATAAATGATGATATTGTTCTGCATATTCGCAGAGTACGTACGTACAAAGTCATAAAGCGCAATCCGCTCCATGCTCGTACGCTATAACGACAAAAATACCTGCAGGCTAAATGTGACCAAATGGAACCCGACATTGGCTGGAAGAATCTTGCCAAATTCCTTCAATCGCGCTTTCTCAGACCTCCGGATAGTTAGGCCGAGCTCGGCTGGCCTCTGACTACATACGAGTAAGAAGCGGCCCACTCGTCACTAGAACGGAGGTTATGCCGCGTGCTGCTGCACCTGCTGTTGGTGTCCGTGGTGCCGTAAACAGTCATTACTGGACAGACACAGCCCGCCGGCAGTGGTGGGTGCGTGATACCCTCCGGAGATAACGGGACGCGCTCCACGCACCCTGTCCAGCATCATACTGCTAAAGGTGGGTTCACAGGACGCAGAGACAGAGGTTGTACAGGTGAGTCGGATGTCAGGTGAGGTGCGAGACAGACGACAAGCGAATAGTAAATAGTGGGGGGGAGGTCATAATTAAATCTTTTATCTAGCAAAACGGAAAAAAGGTGATGCCAAGCGATTACCCAAATGTAACCTTCTCACTTTCCTACCCACTCACTCATTGCGCACTCACGAGTTTCCTACTCATTCCGAGAGTTAAGGGTTCCTTTCTCACTCCGAGAATGAATACTGTGGCCGAGAGCTGCTGGCTCCTAGCTCACGCAGAGTTCCCTACTCACTCCGAGTGTGACGAGTTCCCTACTCACTCCGAGAGTGGAGAGTGTGGCCGATCGCTGCTGGTGGAGCGCCACCAGCCGGTCGATGTCATCGTCCGGTTCAGAGGTTGGCAGACTGGACATGGAGCGACGGTCGAGCGTGGACGACGAGTGAGCGGCCAGCGGTGACTCGCCCGGCCGTCCGGGGGTGCCCGCCTGCCGCTCATCTGCTGGGTCACAGAGACGGTCACGGTCAGAGCAGCCGAGACGGGCGGAGGTTAGATACACACAGAGACGGGCAGAGGTCAGAGGACCAGAGACAGCCAGAGGTCAGGGAAATAGGGATGGACAGGGATCAGATCAACAAAGACGACCGGAGGTCAGATCAACACAAAGACGGTCACGGTCAGAAGAACACCGAGACGGACAGAGGTTAGCTCGACACATAGACGAACAGAGCTCAGGGGAACCAAGACTGGAAGAGGTCAGAGTAATACCGAGACAGCCACAGTCACAGCAGCCGAGACAGGTAGGGGTCAGAGCCCAGAGGATCTTGAGGAAGGGAGACGGGCATAGGCTATAGGCCAGATAATTTGAGACCAGCAGAGGTCAGATCAACACAGAGACGAGCGACGGTCAAATCAACACAAAGACGGATAGAGCTCAGAGGAACAGAGAGACAAGCCAAGGTCAGATCAACACAGAGACAGACAGAGGTCAGATAAATACAGAGACGAACAGGGGTTAGCTAACAAAATGCAAAGACGAGCGACGGTAAAATCAACAAGCTCGACAGAAAGACCAGATCGACAGAAAACGCGTCTCCGTCAGAAAAAAAGGAACATCCGAGGTCAGGTCATGTCCACAGAGATCAACTATCAAGGGCTAGTCATAGACGTGAGACGGACAATAAAGAGCTAAAGCCAAGACGGATCTCACCAATTTAAACGCCACAGATAGTAATCTCAATTGATGCCATGAGGATAACCAGTGAATGAAAACAGCTGATGACTTTGAATGGAAGGAGATTTCCAGAGAGCACCGGAAATTAGATGAGGCTTTCTTACGTTACGAGATGTGGTTTATGGTTATCTAGGTCAGATATGTAATCTACGTCAGGGAGGTATATGATAGCCGATCACACTTCACTAGACACTAGTCAAGGTCAAATAATCTTCTAACGCGCCAAAAGTCAATACGCATCAATGGGACGAGCCAAATGAGCTTAGGCTGTGCAATAAGTGCATTTGGTATTCCATGTTCAAAGTACCTACTCTAGCAGTATGAGACTACTAAACAGGTGTCTCACAATAATACGGTGGAAAGGATAATGAACGACGGGCAAGCAAGATCATCAGATTTTGCATGCGTGCGCACTGGGAGAAGCAGAGGTACCCCAGAGCGGATCGAGAGCGGGCACTGACTGAGCCCCTAACGGTGCGCCCTTCCGTGCTGTCAGTACCGGCTGATCAAATTGCCGAGATCCCGCGGCGGGATGGCCAGTGGCCCGGGATCAATGATCGACTTTCCTATCTTCATCAGCGGCCGCCGCCCTGAGCTTCCGGCCGCACTCCGGGACCAAAACTCATCTGGAAAATACCGGTCCTCCCGCAGGACTGAGTCTCATCATAGACGGCCGCGTGTCGCCTGCCACGGCCGAGCAACAGCGATGGCAGAGGCAGGGCAGTGACGAGAGAAGCCAGAGATCCCGTGAGAGCAGACTTCATCAAATTACACACGGCCCGTGGCGGAGGAGCAGGCCGTGTGATATTTTGGTGCTTCGTAAAGATACGAGTGATTACCCGAAGTCGCTCGGGGACGAGCGGGCGGGCGTTTGTTTCATTTGGCATGCTGGCGTAACTCTCGCAAAAAGGATGAGTGACAAGATGATGGCCGGGAAAGGTAACCAAGATTTTTTTGTAAAGCTGTGACCACGAACCCACAACCTTCAAAATTACAGTCCAGAGAACCATCCCACATCAAAGCACAAAAAAAGATTAGCACCCTTTGGGTCATAAGTCAGAGTTCAATTTTCAGTACCCTGTTGGTGCTTAACCCGCGCCCCACTGGGGTCTGTGTATAACACGCCCTACTGGGGGGGGGGGGGGGCTATTCATAGCCCCCCCCCCCTCCTAACTCCGAAACTACTGGGCCGATCGTCAAAATTCAAACGGCGTCTGATAGCCCCCGAAAAACTGTCGAGCGAAACCTAATTTCATTGACCTCGAGGTCACCGATGACGTCACAGGTCAGGTCAAAGTAAAAATTATTAGCACTTTGGCTTGTTCACATTTTGGGCTCTGGCCGCCGTCTTACAAGTCAGATCAGGCTCATTTTTGGTTTCCACACTCGTGAACAGATGCTCTAGATACCTTGAGGGTACCAAACTTGTACTTTGATTTTCAGGTCAGGGTCAGGTCATCACAGGTCACGAAAATATTATATCATGCGTCGGTCACGTGACACATGTTTTATGGTTCATTTAGGCCATATATTTCGAATTTGATGTCGTCTGTGTCATTCAAGGTCATTTGGAGTCGAAATTAGCTTAGGTCAGGTCACTTTCAGGTCAAAAAAGGTCAAATTTTGAAGTTAAAATTTTTCAACAAAAAAGGTGTCTATTGGATGCAGTTTGAGCTCAGGAACACGATGGTGCCATTTATATTGGTGTACGATGCCAAATACGTACTGAAAAATTGATTTGAAAAATTAATAATTGTGAATTTTTTGCAATAATGCGTATAACTTGGCCATTTTTGAAGATATTTAGCTAAAACTTGCTAGAGTTAGTCATAATCATGCGTTCTGTCACATATATTCCGGTTTTTTCGAAAAGTCAAAAACTTTTTGAAAAAAAAACATAAAAATATAAATTTTGAGTATTATTATATAAAATTTTCGAAATTTTCAAAATTTTGAAAATCCGAGATAGCAGTTTGATAGCGCGGTCAATTCCGAGTTCTTTCATGCAAAGAAATTGGATCTAGCTTAAAAACTGAGCTCTTGGGAGCGATTGCCGTGGTTCAATGCTTTGCGTCGAAATCGGACGAACATGACGTCACTCTGACGTCATTTCCGGCCGACCTATGGTAGCTACGAAGTTCAAATTTTGACACAAGGTGTCAAATTGATGCAGCCGAAGGTACTGAAAGTTTGGCGTCGATTTGTCAAGCGGTTTGGAAGTTATTGCAGAAAAACGGGAGGAGGGCCAAAAATAGCCCCCCCCCCCCCAGTGGGGCGCGGGTTAATGTATGCCCCAAATGGTGCTTACTCAAGAGCCCTAGATGCTAGCATTAGCACCATCTTGGTGCTCAACTTACACTCCAAAGAGTGCTTAGTTCAGAGCCATAGGTGCTAAATAGGTGCTAGCACTAGCACCGTTTTGGTGCTTTGGTGCTAAATTCACGCACCCAAAGGGTGCTTCATTAAGAGCCATAGGTGCTAAATAGGTGCTAGCACTAGCACCGTTTTGGTGCTTTGGTGCTAAATTCACGCACCCAAAGGGTGCTTCATTAAGAGCCATATGTGCTAAATAGGTGCTAGCACTAGCACCGTTTTGGTGCTTTGGTGCTAAATTCACGCACCCAAAGGGTGCTTCATTAAGAGCTCGGGTGCTAACATTGGCACCGAAGCACCCTAGCATGCGTCTAGCACCCAAAAATGTGCCGAGTTCAATTTTCAGCTCCTAGTGGGTGCTTACTGCCGTATGGTGCTACAGCGTAAGCACGTGCTAAGCACATGGGTACTTGTCACCGACCTTCTCGAGCCTCTGGCGGAGGCCGGGACTTTTATTCGGATCGGAGAAAACTTAGACGCATTTTGAAGAGTGGCGGCGAGGGACGATAGCCGCCGGCCGGGAGCCGAGCTAAATCGAAAGGAACATTGCGATTCTTAATGCCTACCTCATGCTGCAAACACGTTTAGTTGTTTAGTTGTTTGTCGTTTATTTATGGTAATGGACATGACGTATGACGGTTATAAGAGTTAAATTTAAGCACAAGCGTAAACTTCTTAATCACAAAGCACCTTTTTACAAATTAAAAAACAACAACAACACAATATCAGCACGTCCATGCGAACAGTGCCACAGGGCCGCTCCCCTGGCATTATAACATATGTAAGCTGATAAATCACAACATATCGGCGCCGCTATACAGGCTGCGGCCGCCGCCCTAAACAGCCACGTCTGCCGTCAACCATGCCCGTAATAGATAAATGGAAAAATATGTCATCTGCATTCTGCAGTCTGCATTGTCTCTTTCACTGTAAAGATTATAATTCATTTCATTAGCTTTCAGTTATCTGTCGCCTATCTGGTAAAATGTCGATAAAACTTTGCCTTATCAACCCTAAAAAGGTGTGGAATTACATCCATTATTATTCATAGCACGACAGCAGGTCAGTGCAAGCCCACCTTAGCACTCCGACAAGGCTGGAAAGTTCCCACGCAGCTCCTCCATTGATGCTCCGTTTCAGACTTCAGACTCGGTCTTCATTTCAGTTAAGACGACACCCACTTCAGTATTGTCACTCACAAATACCCGTATTCGCCTACAAACGACCAACACCATCACTGTTTCTATCACTGACCGCACGCACATGGACCAACCAACCCGGCCGAGCGCTCCCGCACAACTGACTTGACAAATGCAAATGGCGTCGCGAATCCAGCGCGCTTTCTGAATTCGCTGCTTTTTTTCGTACGACGTAAGCACCCAGATGCTAAACAAGCAAACCAATTAGCACCGAACGGATGCGATCTTCCCGCCAAAATCGATGAAGCATATTTTGGGTGCTTTCATCAGCTCAGAAGTTTGATCATGGTGCTTAAAACTGATGCTTAGATTAGCACCATCCGTGCGTTGGTGCTATTCCAAGCACCCTTGAAGCAGGGAAGTGCTTCAAGTGCGGGCAAATTGTCAATTTCGGAGCTTAGACAAGTACCTAAGAGTCTTAGACTGCTAAATGTAGAACATTTTAAGTGCAGGTTAAGCACCCAGGGCTCTTGTTCCAGAACCGCAGCATCCGACTAGCACACCGGGGTGCTAATTTTTTTTTACAGTGTATACTTAGCCAGTACCACGGACAACTCAATTATACCACCACTGACCGTTTACCGCAGAACGGAGCCAGCCACCGTAACACGAGTGTCCACAAACCCTTCAACCGGTCCAGCCGGAGGTGGGTAACATCATCCTATGGACACATCCGGCTGCCGGCCAGCCGGCTCCCTGTGTCACCCCACCCC